GCTGGTACAAAAAGACTGAGATCATACCATGCATATTTTAAGACCACCACAATGCTATGAAACTTGAGTCAACCACAAGAAGAAATTTGGAAGGACCACAAATACATGGAGGTTAAGAACATCCTACAAAAGAATGAACGGGACAACCAGGAAATTAAAGAAGAATTTTGAAAATATATGAAATGAAAATGAAAACACGATAGTTCAGAACTTTTGGGATGCAGCAAAGTGGTCCTAAGAGTGAAGCATATAGCAATACAGGCCTTCAAGAAGCAAGAAAAGTCTCTAACTACACAACCTAACCTTACACCTGAAGGAGCTAGAAAAAGAACAGTAAATAAAGCCTAAATCCAGTGGAAGAAGAGAAATTATCAATAGAGTAGAAATCAATGACATAGAAATAAAAAAAAAAACCCCAGCAGAACAGATCAACAAAACTAGGAGCTGGTTCTTTGAAAGAATTAATAAGATTGATAAACACCTGGCCAGACTTACCAAAAAGAAAAGAGAAAGGACCCAAATAAATAAAATCATGAATGAAAGAGGAGAGATCACAACCAACACCAAGGAAATACAAACAATTATAAGGACATATTATGAGCAATTATATGCCAACAAATTAGGCAATCTGGAAGAAATGGATAAAGTCCTAGAAACATATAAACTATCAAAACTAAAACAGGAAGAAATAGAAAATCTGAACAGACCTATAACCAGCAAAGAAACTGCATCAGTAATCAAAAATCTCCCAACAAACAAGAATCCAGGGCTGGATGGCTTTCGAGGGAAATTCTACCAAACATTTAAAGAATTAATACCTATTCTTCTGAAACTGTTCCAAAAAATAGAAATGGAAGGGAAACTTCAAAACTCATTCTATGAGGCCAGTATTACCTTGATCCCAAAACCAAAGGCCCCACTAAAAAGGAGAATTACAGACCAATATCCCTGATGAACATGGTTGCAAAAATTCTCCCCAAGATACTAGCTAATAGGATTCAAGAGTACATCAAAAGGATTATTCACCACGACCAAGTGGGATTTATTCCTGGGCTGCAGGGTGGTTCTACATCTGCACATCAATCAATGTGATATACCACACTAATAAAAGAAAGGATAAGAACCATATGATCCTCTCAATAGATGCAGAAAAAGCATCTGACAAAATACAGCATCCTTTATTGATAAAAACCCTCCACCATGTAAGGATAAAGGGTACATACCTCAACATCATAAAAGCCATATATGAAAGACCCACAGTGAATATCATTCCCAACAGGGAAAAACAGAGCTTTTCCCCTAAGGTCAGGAACATCCAGGGATGCCCACTCTCACCACTATTGTTCATCATAGTACTGGAAGTCCTAACCTCAGCAATCAGACAACAAAAAGAAATAAAAGGCATCCAAATCAGCAAAGAAAAAATCAAACTTTCACTCTCTGCAGACGACATGATACGCTATGTAGAAAACCCAAGAGACTCCACCAAAAATTTGCTAGAACTGATACAGGAATTCAGCAAAGTCACAGGATATAAAATCAACGCACAGAAGTCTGTTGCATTTCTATACACTAACAACGAAGCAGCAGAAAGAGAAGGAATCAATCCTTCTTCAATTGCACCAAAACCCATAAGATACCTAGGAATAAACCTAACCAAGGAGGTTAAAAGATCTTGTACTCTGAAAACTATAGAACACTGATGAAAGAAACTGAGGAAGACATAAAGAAAAACATTCCATGCTCATGGATTGGAAGAACAAATATTATTAAAATGTCTATAACTACGCACAGCAATCTACACATCCAATGCAATCCCTATCAAAATAACAGCAGCATTTTTCACAGAGCTGGAACAAACAATCCTAAAATTTGTATGGAACCAGAAAAGACCCTGAATAGCCAAAGGAATGTTGAAAAAAGAAAACCAAAACTGGAGGCATCACAATTCTGGACTTCAAGCCCGATTACAAAGCTGTATTCATCAAGACAGTATGGTATTGGCACAAAAACAGACACATAGCTCAATGGAACAGAATAGAGAACCCAGAAATGGACCCTCAACTCTATGGTCAACCCATCTTCAACAAAGCAGGAAAGAATATCCAATGGAAAAGACAGTCTCTTCCACAAGTGGTGCTGGGAAAATTGGACAGCCACATGCAGAAGAATGAAACTGGACCATTTCCTTACACCACACACAAAAATGGACTCCAAATGGTTGAAAGACCTAAATGTGAGACAGGAATCCATCAAAAATCTTAAAGGAGAACACAGGCAGCAACCTCTGTGACCTTGGCCACAGCAACTTCTTGCTAGACACGTCTCCAGAGGCAAGGGAAACAAAGGCAAAAATGAACTACGCATGCACGCGCGCACACACAAACACAGGAATATTACTCAACCATCAAAAAGAATGAAATCTTGCCATTTGCAAAGACATGGATGGAACTGGAGGGTATTATGCCAAGTGAAATAAGTCAGTGAGAGAAAGACAAATTCCATATGATTTCATCATATGTGGAATTTAAGAAACAAAACAGATGAACATAGGAGAAGGGAAGGGAAAACAAAATAAGATGAAAACAGGGAGACAAACCATGACTCTTGACTCTAGGAAACAAACTGAGGGTTGCTGGAGGGGAGGTGGGGGGGGAGGGACAACTGGGTGATGGGCATTAAGGAGGGCAGTTGATGTGATGAGCACCAGGTGTTATATGCAACTGATGAATCACCATATTCCACCCCTGAAACTAGTAATACACTGTGTGTTAACTAAATTGAATCCAAATAAAAATTAAAAAAGGAAAACAATTACAATAGCATCATAAAGAATAAAATACTCAAGAACAAATTTAGATGTGTACACTGAAAGCTACAAAACAGCTTTGAAAGAAACTAAGAAAACCTAGATAAATGGAAAGACACCCCATGTTCATGGCTAGGAAAACTTAACATAGTTGATGGCAATACTCCCCAAAATGATCCACAGATTCAACACAATCTCCATCAAAATTTCAGTTGGTTTTTTTGCAGAAATTGACAAGCTGATTCCAAAATTCATATGGAAATTCAAGGGATCTCCGATAGCCAAAACAATCATTGAAAAGAGCAAAATTGAAGGATTCACACATTATAGCTGACTGCAAAACTACAGTAATCAAGACAGTGTGGCATTAGGACAGATATACAGATCAATGGAACAGAATGGAGAATCCAGAAATAAACCCTCACAATTTACAGTTAATCGATTTTCAACAAGGATGCCAAGACAATTCGATGAGGGAAGAACAGTCTTTTCAACAAATGGTGCAGGAAAAACTAAACAGCCACTGCGAAAGAATGAAGTGGGACACATACCATACACCATACATAAAACTAACTCAAAATGGATCAAAGACCTAACTGTAAGAACTAAAACTATAAAACTCTTAGAAGAAAACACAAGTGTCAATCTTCATGACTTTGGATTTGGCAATGGATTCTTGGGACATGATGCCAAAGTGCAAGCAACAAAAGAAAAAGTGAATAAATTGGACTTGATCAAAACTAGAAACTTTTGTGTTCCAAAGTATTCATCTGGTATGGGAATGGGAGAAAATATTTGTAAATCAAATCTCTGAGGGACGCCTGGGTGGCTCAGTCAGTTAAGCGTCTGCCTTCGGCTCGGGTCATGATCCCAGGGTACTGGGATCAAGCCCCGCTTCAGGCTCCCTGCTCAGCGGGGAGTCTGCTTCTCCCTCTGCCTCTGCCTGCTGCTCTCCCTGCTCGTGCTTTCTTGCTCCGTCAAATAAATAAATAAAATATTTTTGAAAAAAATCAAATATCTGGGCGCCTGCGTGGCTCAGATGGTTAAGCGTCTGCCTTCGGCTCAGGTCGTGATCCCAGGGTCCCGGGATCGAGTCCCGTGTCGGGCTCCCTGCTCGTTGGGAGCCTGCTTCTCCCTCTGCCTCTCTCTCTGTCTTTCATGAATAAATAAATAAAATCTTTAAAAAAAAAAATCAAATATCTGACACGGCTTGTATCCAGAAAATAAAAAGAATTCTTACAACTCAACAATAAACGACAAATAACCCAATTAAAAAGTGGGCAAAAGAACCAAATATAGACATTTCTCTATAGAAGATCTACACATGGCCAATAAGCACATGAAAAGATAACCGACATCATTAGTCACCAGGGAAATGCAAATCAAAACCACAACGAGATAGCCCTTCCCACCCACCAGGATGGCTGCAATCAAAAAGATAGACAGATGTTGGTGAGGATGTGGAGAAACTGGAAACTGCTGGTGGGAATGTAAAATGGTACAGTCACTTTGGAAAAGTTTGGCACAAAGTTCCTCAAAAACATGTCTTCAGTTAAAAACGTATACAGTGACATTCATAGCATTATTTATAATAGCCAAAACGTGAAAATAATTATTTCAAAAGCTTGACAAGATTTCAAGGGCAGGGGTAGGGTTTCTTTGAGTGATGTGGGCATGGATTAGGGCCACCTCTGTAAAGAAAGCTGCAGGAGGACAGCTAGTCAGGGAAAGTGCATGGGCCTGGGACCGGGGCCTGGGTTTGAGGCGTGACTCTGTCACCCAGTGACCTAGAGCAAGTTGTTTTGACACCTCCCCTGTGAAACGGGACTAGGACAAGTACCTACTGCCACAGGTGAGTGTGACAACTACTGGCATATAAAGTACTTACCCCAGTGCCAGTGGGTATGAAGTCTTCAACTGAGGACAGGATGTGCTCTGTCCTTTTGGTCACCATAACCAGAGCTCTGCCTCCAGCCTCCTCAGTTGTGTTCCCCATCTTGGCCCTAGGGATGGCTAGAGTCTATGCAAGGGAACCCTATAGATTTCTGCCCCAGGGGGCTTAGGAGCAGTGGCTGGGGATGCTGGCTCCCTAGCCTGAGGAGCAAAGGCCTGGGGAAAGAAACCCCTCCCACCCCTAACCCAGCCTCACTGAGGCCCCCAGCCTGTGGGGACAGAGAGGACCCTCTCTTACCTTCAGGAGCTCCTGGTCATCCAGCCCACACAGCATCAGCTCATGGCCTAGTTTCACCATCTCTGTCGGAACACAAGGATCCTGTTACTGCACACGCCCACCCAAACAGGAGGGGACGCCATGCACCCAGGGGTGCCCAAACGTGCAGAGTGCCGAGCGCTGCTCTAGAGAGAGTGCTTCTGCTGTGGCACTGGCAGGCCAGTGCCCAAGAGGCCACGCTGGGCCACAAGGCCTGGGTGGACAAGGAGGCAGGGGGACAACATGCCCAGGACTGCCTCTTGCTGTGTGACTTACATCTCTGTGGGTATGTTTCCTGCACTGAAATAAGGGGTCACGTCTGATGTTCTTCCATAAAGGGAACTCTGGCTTCTAGCAGAAGCCAGCCAGCCACTTGAGGAGCAGACACAGAGCTCAGGGAACCTTCTAAAGTTGCTGTGTGCCACCGTTTCAGAGAACTGGCCAGGCCAAAGCAAAAGGAACCATGGCTCACATGTGTCAATTTCCTACAGGTCTTTATCAACATCTCCTTTCACCTTGCTGGCAACTCTAGGAGGTGGGCCGCAGCTCCATTTTACAGATTGGGAAACTGAGTCACTGCATGGTACAGGGACTGCCCGGCCACACCTGAGTAACCATCTGATATATCGAGAAAGGCCAGGACTTGGAGCTAGAAAGCCTGGGGCCAAAGTCAGCTCTGCATCCCCGACCTAGCCCTGTGGCAATGTCTACTCCTTCATAGGCAAAGCCCATCTCCTACCCCCACACGCTCAGTAGTGGAACAGGCATAACTCTGGCATCTGCTTTGGAAGGTTTGGTGCAAGAAGCACGTAGAACATCTATGCAAAAGCATTAGTAACCCTGGAAACACTGTAGGAATACCAGTTATACCCCCAAGCATGCCCACTGCCCACAACCCTGAACCCCAAATCCTCGTGTGTTCCACGGCTCCTCTCCTGCTTGGCCCATACCCAAGTCTTAGTAAGTCTGGCCAATCCTCCCTTCACGGTAAATCCAGGATCTGGCCAACACTCCACTTTCACTGCCCCCCTCCCATCTCTTGCCTGCATCACTGCAAGAGCCTTCCAGTGGTCTCCCTGCCTCTGCGCAGGCCTCTGTTCTCAACTCAGTGGCCTTAGGGACCCTGTTAAACCCAAAGTCAGGCCACAGCTTTCCTCAGAATAAAAGCTGTCCTTCCATGGCCTGATCTGGCCGGCCCCGATGCCTCTCTGCCTTCACCACTCTCCCCTTGCTCTCCACTCTGCACCAGCCACCTGGGCCTCCTTGGTACTCCTCACAGCTGCAAGGCACATGCAAGCCTACCTCAGGCCCTTTGCACTTACTGTTCCTTTGCCCTGAACACTACTCTTCCTGATATCTGCCTGGCTCGCTTCCTCCCTTCCTGCAAGACTGTGTTTAAAAGAGAGGCTTTCCCCAATGATCTTAATCAACAGTACCACCCTTCTCCCAACCCACCCATGTACCACTTTGCCCTCACTTGGCTTGGTTTAGGGCACTTGTCACCATCCAACACAGAACTTCGTTGCCTTCATTTATCACCTGTCTCTCTCAGCCGCCAAATGAGTGCCACGTGAGCAGCACAATTCACCACTGCACAGCCAGCACCCAGAACGATGCCAGGTGCGTAGGAGACACTCCACAAATAACGCTCAAATGAATTCAGGAATTCTCCTAATCCTCTCTGGAGGATTATACCCTTTGACAAGCACTCAGGTCTGCCACCTGCTCTGACACTCAGCGCACTCCCATGAGGTGGGCAAGGCTCAGGTTATCACCCCCGCTTTACAGAAGAAGAAACTAAGGCTGGGAATGGCAAGGTCAAGGCTTTGGCTGGACTAAGGGCAGGGCTGGCATCTGTGTGTGGGTGTGTGTTAAAGAATTCAGATGTAGTCCGATGGTTCACCTGGCCTTTACATGGTCCCATCAGTAGGAAAGTGCCAGACATAACACACTGGGGAGAGGGGGAGCACTTCTGTGCAGCCCGGGCCGGCCCACAGGCCAGTCCTGCAGGCTCCAAAACACAACACCCTGTTCTTCCAGCCCATTTCAGCCTCGGGGGCAAGTGTCCCTGGATAATTAATTTGGCAGTGAGAGCTGGGGCCTGCACTGGAGCTCCAGGGTCCAGGTCACCCACCCTGGAACAGCTGAGCCAAATGCAAGTCCACAGAAAATTTGACTTTTAGAGACACCACAGTGAGGACTGTAATTTACTCCCCTTTGCCTAATGTTCATTACCAGATTAAGGACAGTTTCTGCCAACAAAGGATCGAAAAGAAGCCGTTACAAGACAAGCCCCTACGGAGAGCTGCCCAGCGCAAACACAGCAGGAGGCAGGAAGATGGGGACAGAACCAACCAGAAGCATCGGCAAGAACCAGTCTCTGCCTCCAGTGCTTTGGTGGATGGGCTGGACAGAGTGACATGTTCTTGATCTCATTCACATGCCCCCATAAGAGGAACCATCCCCTTTGCCCATGCATAGTGTGTGTGTAGTAGGGCGTGCCCTGATTCTAGAAGGCTCTGGCAAGATCTCCAGGGTGTGCACCAGCCGTAAGTGAACACAATCCAATGGGAAATTCAGTGCAACTTGCCAAGGAGGCCATGCACCAGCTCAGAATTGTCCAGAATCCACCACCCAACTCCAAACTCCCGTAACACAGACCCACCTTGGATCTTCACCTCAACTGGGGCCCCCTTCAGCGAGCTGAACTTGTCCTGCCAGGAGGGACAGACCCTGTAGGGAAAGAGCAAAACTGGTCAGTCCTGAGCAGGCAGCAGAGGCCCCCTCACGACCCCTCCTTACACGTGCTCTGAAAAAGTGAATTACTTGTGCAAGTGCTAAATACCACTGAAAGGTTTACTTCATATAGGTAATTTTATGTGATGTGAATTTCAACTCCATAAATTATTAGGGAAGAAAACCACAAAATATTTCTGAAAGTATACCTCAGAAATGTGAATCTGAATACTGAAATTTAAATTCTCACGATAGGGCGCCTGGGTGGCTCAGTCAGTTAAGTGTCTGCCTTCGGCTTAGGTCATGATCCCTGGGTCCTGGGATCCAGTCCCATGTTGGCAGCCTCCCTGCTCAGCAGGGAGCCTGCTTCTCCCTCTCCCTCTGCCCCTCCCCCTGCTCGTGTTCTCTCTCTCACGCGCACTCTCCCTCAAATAAATAAATAAAATATTTAAATTCTCACAATAAAAAAACAAAATGACGGCCCACGAGGAAAGTCCTGAATTCCTCAGAGCTCTAAGCTCTTTCTCAGAAGGAACCACGGGGCTGGCTTTTCTCTCAACCATGGTGCAGGTTTGTTTGAAGGATGTCCACCAAGGCCCTTCCTGCTCTAGCACCCCTGCAGGCCCTGCCTGGGTGTCCTCTCACACCTCTCTGCACACATGTGCGTCTGCTCTTCTCGGCCTGGAGTACTTTCTTCCCGCCTGGCCCAAGCACACTGGCTCTGACTCATCCCGAGAAGCCCATGGCTGACATCGCCTCCCCAGGGAAGCTGGGGAAGGGCCAGGCATGCCCACAGACACTTTGGCATCCCTCCGTCACAGGAGAACCTGGGCACTGTCCTCCCACTGGGCTCTCACCTCCCAGGCTGCAGGCTTGCTGAGGCCAGGAGATAACTTTCCATTCTATACTTTTGGGGTCTAATGCCATGGAGGCCAGCACAAAAAAGGCAACCAGCGTGTATTAACAAATAAACGACCACGGCCTCTTGCCGTGGAATAATCTGCCATTAGTAAATGTCCATGCTTAGCCCTTTCAAAAGAAAGACATTTTCTCTTTTTAGAAAAGCTTAAATCATTGTGAGATTATCCTACTCCAGGTCACAGCTTTAAACCATTTAGGGGCTCCTAGTGTGATAGGCTCTGGGATCACAGCTCCAGCCTCCTGGACTGAGAGACAGCAATCCCAGCTGCCCCCCACCCAGGTCCAGCGGAGCCCCAGCCTCGGCGATATCAGGATAAATGGGACAGTGGCCACTCATAAGCATCTTGCCTTAAGACAGCGAGCTGATGGGCAAAACCGTTCCCAGACACAGACCATATCGAAAGGCAATAAGGGCTACAATACCCTGAGAGCCCCCCCAGGAGGTCTCCACCATGAGCAGGGGTCAGCCTGAGCACTACACCCCAGACGTGAGCTCCAGGCCTAGCACAGCACCGAGGCCGTGGGAGCATCGCTCTGGGGGCTGAGACTGCCGCCTGCTTGCCAGGGAGTCTCAGCAGCTGGCTGCCAGGGCAGGCCCTCCCTACAGAAAGGTAAGAGGCTCTTTCCACAGGACAGTGAGGGCCAGGACTCTACTCTGCCATCATGCCAGCCCTAGGGACCTGCTGACTTAGCATGCTAGAAAAGGGCACGGTAGCTGTTCCATGGAGAGGGCTCACTTCTCCTACCCCAGGACCATGCCTCTAAATGAATGCCTGCCTCCCAGGCCACACCTGCCCTGCCCATGCTGGGGCCCTGGGAGCTGGCAGGGCCATCCTGAACCTGAGGTCCCAGGCCCCATACTGCAGGACTACAGTGGAGAGGGGGCCTCAGCTGCATCGCCTGTCTTCGTGACTCATGAAGGCAGCCAGCTCTTCTGCCAAAGAGGGATGGGGCAGAAGGGGCAGAAGGAGCCCCTACCATGTGAAATGCTAGGAGGCTGGGCCCTGGGCCTGGTTGCTGGGCAACGTTCCCACTTACAAGGCACCAAGGAGCGGAGAGCACTCAGCAGTCCATCGGGCTGGACACAGCAAACCACTTCAACACACTAAAGTACAAGTCCACAAAAGCCTAAGTGACCTCACTCAGAAAGGGCTTTCATTAAAGTTGATCTTCCTGAGGCAGCAGGGCAGAAACTAAAGGCACTCAAGGCCTTGAGAGCAAGTATAGTTCTTCAGGAGTCAAGGAAACCCAGGTGCCTTGAATTCAGCAACCCAGGGGGCCCTGCAGCTCTGCTCTGCCCCCACACCGAGGACCAGCCTGGCACATGGGTCACCCAGAGCCAGCATGCTGAGCCCCAAGGTCAATGCCAGGTACAGCTTCCAGGTTCCACCCAGAGCAGGGTGGACAAGGTGACCCTAATCGAGGGCTGAAGTGGTGAAGCCATGTGCAAAGAAAGCCAGTATGAAACGTGGGAGAAGCTGAACTCTATCCAATCCTCTTTTCGGGACCTTGAAAGGCCTATGGCCTTTTGCCAGCTCGGGATCATAAGAAGCAACTGTACGTTCCCTGTCTATTCTTTCAAAGAATTCAGCTGCTTGTATTTATAAAAGCACTTAGAGCATTTGAGGAATGTACCCACAGACTCCCACCCATCCCTCCCACCCAGCAGGGTGCCCCAGTCCCCAGCATCAGCCTAAGCCAGGCAAACCTGGGGTCCCTCCCATGAGAGCGTCGCCAAGACATGGCTGTGGCACCCCTCCTCCTGGGGGAACACTCGAGACCCCTGCACTAGCCCAGGCCATCCCCACTACTGCCTCTCCTCCCAGACTCCTGGACCATGCACTGGTCCTTCCAGGGCTGGCAGTGGCCATCATGTGAGCCATCTGTCGTTCCAAGGCAGGCTCCTGCCATCTTTTCCTGGGGCTGTTGCAACAGTCTCCCCTCCAAATCCATCCACCACAGAACCCGAGTCACCTTGCCAAAATGCCAACTTTAGTGTGTTGCTTCCCTGGTCCCATGCATGCCCTGCCTAGAGCATCAAGTGGAAAGGCCCTCACATGGCTTGCAGGGCTCTGCAGGAGCTGCCCCAAGCTGCTGTTGGGCTCACTGCAGCCCAGCTCTCCCTCCCATGCCTCGATTCCTCACTCCGGTTGAAATGAGCACCCACCATTACCCGTCCCCTCCCAGATCAAGTGCCACCTCCTCCGTGTCGACATGCATACCACTCAGACTGCAGAGGTGTGCCCAGCACTGGGATTCACATCTAGGCCTTTAGTAGCCACTAGAGCCCCCACTCCTTGAAGACACCCGTCCGTGCCTGAGGCGCCTGGAATGACACATGGGTGTGCATGTGTCCATGCACCTGCTTATCATCCAACAGCCTGGAGCACATTTCAAGTATGTCCAACACTGTGCAGCAGCCTGGGGCTGACACACAAGTCCTGCCTGGTACATGCCCTTCAGCAGCTCCCAGTGCTTCGGAGAGCCAGACAGGACAGCAGGCCAAGACAGACCCAGTGGGCTGAGGGCTCTGGGAGGGGGTGTGCTCAAAAGGTTGTGGGTATCTGAGGGGAAAGAGGGATATGTTTTGCCCTGGGAGCTGGAGACTTTCAAAAAAGAGTTGGACGTGTGAGCTGGGTCTTTGAAGGTCATGCAGAGACCTGAGGGTGCTTCCAGGAGGGAGAGCAAAAGGGTACAAGAGTGCTCTGAGCAGAGGCCTGGGGTGGGCCTGGGGAAGGGCCTGGAGGACAGGCTGCTGGAAATACAGAGGCTCAAACATGAAAATGCCTCCCCTCCCTCCCAGCCATTCGTAGGACACCCAGCGCAGGGCCAGGCCTGCTGGTGTCCCATGGCCTGGCAGGTACACCAGCTGGGTGCAGGCTGCATCCTCGCTGCTCCACCACCAGGCTCCTGTCCAGGCATCTTCCTGAGCTGCAAGGGCAGAGAGGCGAGGCTGAAGAGGAACAGGCCCAGACCTGGCCTCCTGAGAGACTCCTGTACCAACCGACCATGGCCACTCCAGAGAGGGCCCTGGGGGTCCTGCCCAACAACACAGGAGCCTGTGCTCCATGAGAGGCTTGGTCAAGCCTTCCCCACCGTAGCCTTGAGACAGATGCTCAGCTCATGGGCTGCTGCTCACAAGGAACAGACATTCCTTGGGACTTTCTGGATCTTTCCCTTTGCCATCTGGGTAGGCTTTGCTTCCCTTGCACAGAGCCAGGCACACCCACCAGGGCACTCCTTGACCTGAAGGACTGGGAAACAGGGTCTTGGCCCTGCTTGTCACTCCTCAATGGCAAGATGCAAGACAGTTCACAAGTCCAGTCTGAGAATGAAAGGATCGAGGCCCCTGCCAGCTCTGAAACTAGTAAAGCAAGGAGAACACTCAGAAGCCCAGCTCAGCACTTTAGCAAGGCGGCAAACAGACCAGCTAAAGCACTGGCATGGGGGGGGGGGAGGCAGCACTTTCAAGGCAAATTTGAGCATGGTTTCCATGGCTGGCACTTCTTACCCAAACAGCTGTTCTCACGGTGACCTGGAGTAGGGTATGGAGCCATCTGGGAGTACCACTACTTATAAAAATATTAAACAGCTATCTTTCCCAGGCGGGCTGAGTGGCGCCTGGTGTACCCCAGGGATGGGGAGGAAGAAACAAAGATGTTACCGAACACACATCCACTCCAGGATTTCCAAGCGGTACTTCGAGGGACTACACAGCAGTTCCTGAATGGTCTTAGGTTCTGTGATATAAAGACCCTCAAGGACCGGGCAGTTGAGAGCCTAAGCAACGAAAGGAAAACCAGGAAGCTTTAGAAATCGAGTAGGGCTTAAGGGCTGAAATGCTCCTCCCTTCACACACATTTACTACCCACCAAGCACACACCAGGCTTGTTAGCACACATGGGCTCCCCAACCCCCCCCGCCCCCCCCCCCCGGCAGCGCTCTCCCTCCATGCTGCCCAGAGTTAAAGTTTCCTCATTCTCAGTCCGCATCCCCAGTGGGGCCTGTCACCCCACCTCCTTTAAGTACCCCCGCTCTAGCCTCATCTCATGTAGCACTTTAACCTAGTAGCAACTAGAGGCTTTGGCAAGACTCCGAGATTCTGATCCAGCCTCCCAGCTATGGGACCACAGGGAAGGGCCAGGGAGAAGGCAGAGAGCACCTATCTGGAGGGCGGGGGGAGGGGGGGGCGGGGGAGGAAGGAGGGGAGGGGGAAGGGGATGGGGGACAGGCAAGGGGCGTGAGGCAGAGCAGCGGCGGTTCGTGTGGCACCTGGGATGGCAATCTGACCTCGTAGGGCCGGTTTCCTCACTACTGCCACCACGAGCATCTGACTCTGACTCGACAGGGTGGCACGGACTCTGCCTGTCTCCCCCTAGGCCCCGTGAGCTCCCTGAGGCCAGGGCCCGTGCCCTCCCCGTGTCTGCATTGGCTTCGTGCGCCCGGCAAGGTCCTGCAGGATTCCTGCAACGTAAGTTAAGGTGCAGCACGCGCGTGGCGCCGGCCCGAACTAACACGCACGGACCACGGAGACAGCAAGCGCGAAGGCCCGAGGCCGCCCAAGGAGCAGAGACCGGACACAGGCCGCGGCCGGGAACTGAAAGACCGGCCGCGCGTGCGGCGCTGCCGACTTCCGCAGTAGGCCCTGCCCACCCCGCCGCCCTGGCCCCCTGCTGCCCCCGGCGGGGGGGGGGCGGAGGGGGCGCTTCCTGGATCCGCGGCACCTTTAGCTTCGCGAACACCTCCACGGCCGCCTGGAGTACGCCCTCGTCGCCCTCGTCGCCCTCGTCCTTGTAGCCGCCGCCACCAACGCCGACACCTAGCCCAGCCATGTTTCGCGCTCTGAGCCGCGCCCCGCCCCCGCCTCAGGCTCACTGGCCGGCCCGGCTGCCAATCACACGCAAGCCCCCCCCCGCGCACCTCCCACCTTCCCGCCCGCGCCGGCCCTCCCACCCCTCCCACCCCTCCCACCCCTCCCCCGCCGCGCCCTCCCATTGGGCCGCAGCTCCACGCGCGCCTGGGCACCACCCAGGAGGCGGGCCTCGGGGGAAAGGGCGGGGCGCGGGCGAGCTGGGCCGGGCCCTCTTTGGCCCCCTCGCTCGCGTCGCCCCTGCTAGCGGCCCCGGCCGAGCGGGCGTCGGGGCGAGCCTTGGCCAGGAGAGGGCGCTCCTGCCTCGGTCGGGTTCTCTGCAGGATGGAGAGGCGCCCGGCGGGTGGGACTTAACTGGGACTGAGCGTCCTGGCTCCCTGTGCGGGGCTCTATATCCCTCCCTGTGTGGGGCTCTAGCTCCCGTTTCCCACACTCACAGCTGTAGTTAGAGGGAAGTTCCTTGTGTTCCAATCCGACCCCACTACTCACTAGCTGGGTGACTTTGGGCAGGTTACCTAACCTCTCTGTGCCTTCTTGCCCTCACCTAATGGGGAATAAATGAGAGCACTTACCTCATTGGATTGCTATGAAGATGGAATGAGATAATAATTCCTATGACAATGCCTGGCACATACAAAGCACTGTGTAGATGTTCACTGTTACTCTGCCGGCCCCTGCTGCTTTCCCCCCCTCCTCCCCCGCTCTGTCTTTCATCTTCCTGGAAGGTTCTGTGGCTCCTTCCCGCCCTGTCCACTTACATATTTCTTTGCATCTCTCACAGCCCTCAAACTCAATGAGTCTGGCATGAAATCTGACAACCCATCTGTCTCCAGACCTCCAACGCCCCCATCCCTGGGACCTGCTGATCTGAGGAGGCGGGAAAGAGCTGAAGAGTGGCTGCTGCCCGGGGAGTCGGGAGCCAGGGCAGGCAGCTGCTGCCCGCTCAGTCCTCTCGGGAGTCTCTCCCTCCTCTGTGCCCTGCCCTGCCACCTCCTGGAAAGAGGGACCAAGAGGCAAATCTAGAGACAGGGAGACCCAGGGACCTGGCAGGACGCAACTGCAGTCCTCTGAGTGACAGGAAAGGGCTCTCAGCTCTGTCCCAGGACGAGGGGGCAGGAGTCTGCGTTAACAGAAAAAGACCCGAGCCCGGCCTTGTGGGGCAGGACCTGATTCCCTACTGAATGGTTTGTAATTCCGAGCTATTCTGAGGACACAGAGCCTTGGAAGTGAGCTGAAGGGACATGCAAAGCACCATAAGGCCCCTTCCCCTGTCCAGCATGGTTGCCGCCTTGGGCCCTTCTGGCAGCTGAAGGCTGTTTTTTTTTTTTTAATCTTTTTTTTTTTCTCTTTTTGTTTTTGTTTTTCTTTCTTTCTTTTTAAAAAATTTCATTTCAATCACAGCCCCAGCTCAGACATTCAAATTCTTGTGGGTTTTTCTGTGGATCTTTCCTAGGACTGGGGAATTTGGCGGGAGAAACCACAGCAGTGTGGTGGCCTCCCCCACCCTCCCCATATCCTCTGCTCCTAAGGATCAGGAAGAAACAAGCCCCTGTGTATTCTGGAAGAAAATTCCCCTTCTCCACCCAGCCCGGTGGAGCCAGTACTCTAAGCAGTCCTTCCCCGACTCAGCAGCTCTGTCTATGGCATGGGGTGGGACGTGGAGGGATTGACAGGGCCTCGAAGGGAGAAAAGCATCTCGAGAGGTCATGGGGTCCATCGTCCTGTACGGAGGATGTGCTGGCCAGCCCTCAGCTCATGGAGATGGCTGCCGAAGACCTGCGCACACCACCGCTAAATCATGGTGCCTCCCAAACATCCTCCACCGGAAAGGCTGGAGGCTGGGATGGAAACAGAGACTGCTGGGCCTCTCACGGAGTGGGGAAAGAAGGAGCCGGCTGATAGAAGCTTCTGGAAACTTGCACTCAGGCTCAACACGAGGAAGCACCTCTCCCAGAGGACACTGCCTAAACCCCGGCTGGCTGCCCAGAAAGGGAGAACACTCCCTGTCTTGGGAGGTGGGTGAGCCCAGGGAGGTGGGTAAGGCTGAGAAAGGGTGGATAACCACAGTGAGGAGGGAGAGGGCAGGCCGCTAAGAGGCATTTCTGCCCAAAGCCCCACGGGTTCTGTGAAGGAGGCTTGCGTGGGTGAGGGGCCAAAAATGAGGCTGAAGGATCTGTCCCCCTAGGAGGGGATTCGGTAGGAACAGGGGGTCAGTGGAGAGTATGGATCCCTGGGGAGATGGAGGCACTTCGTGCAACAAGAGCCAACCTCCTGATCATGGGGGAAACTTGGCCATGGGTCCCAGCAGGGCCTCAGCCATGTGTCAGTACTTGGAAAACAGGCTGGAAATTGAGGCCAGTTGACAGGCACTGGCCCCACCGTGCCAGGGATGGGCTGGCAGGCAGTGCAGGCCAAGGCAGCCAGCCACGTGAGGCACGTCACTTTGGGCAGTGGGCACAGAAATGGACGGCCAACCAGATGCCTTCACTCAACAGCCTCCCGGCCCTGGAGCAGCAGCTGTTGGTGGGAGCTGTGCAGGGCGTCAGGCAAGAGGAAGGTCCCTGAGAGCATCTCCACTGCAATGTTGAGGCTGTCTTTAGCAACAGATCCCAGGGTTCAGGGGGAATCTTAACCAGGGCTCCCCTCCCCCGCAGCAGACATTGCCAATCAAAGGAAGCTGGAGTTCAAGGGTTTACCCTCTCCGTCAAGGAAGAGAAAGCAGACTGGCTTCTGCTGCATCTGACAGTAGCTGAAGGCCTTGTTCCCCCATAAACTCCTGCCCCTGAAAGAGGGGAACCTCCGAGGGACAAAGGCTTCCTCCAAGTCCCACTCTCCTCAGCCCCAAGTTTCCCCAGTAAGAAGAGGAGATGAAGGGGCTCCTCACCACATGCCCTGGGAGCACCAAATGCAGGCTCCTGAAGAAAAGGCAAGTGATGAGTGTGTGTGACACTTCAGAGGAAGAATTCAGTTATGGGACAAGAAGCTGCTCCAGTCCATGGGAGAAGTAAGTGGCAGTTCCTGACACTGGACTGGGGGAGAAATGAGACATGGTAATAAGGTCGGGCTGAGGATGGTCTGAGGCCAAGACTCTCCATGGGCAAGGTCAAGGCTGCCTCTTCCGCCCCTCCCTCTCCCCTGTCCTCCTGCCCCGACTTCTCTCTTCTGCCCCGATTGAGCTACGGTGCTGAGCTGTTGGTCACCATCCACCCTGGTGCCCTGGTCTCGCAGCCAGCCCACAACATCTGTGCCAGCCAGGAGCCCACTCAAAACCAGCCACCTTCACACGGATGAGAGGAAGAGTGGAAAACTGGGAAGTAAGGGATTTTGTCTGTGAGACCCCAGACTACCACGTGGGCAATGAGACCTAAAGGGTCCCCGGAACAAGAGTGATGTTGACATCCCTTCAGGTGGTCACTGTTAGTCACCCACCTCAAGGCCCTGGGGACTTGTCTGGCCAAGCACACACTCCTGGAGTCTCGTAAGTCCAGAGGACTCCGGAGCTGCCACCGTGGGCCTGACAGACGTGAGCCTGCCACAGGCATAGGCTTGGGGGAGTCTAGTAGGCTCCCACCCAAGTACCGGATGGATGAGACTATCAATCGAGGAGCTGACTGATGACAACCAATTCTAGAATGCTGTCCTTCTGGACCTCCGTGTGGACACCGGAAGTCTACCGGTTCATGAGGATGGAGAGGCTGTCCTGGGACCTTGCCCTCCTCTTCCTGTCACTTCTGGTCCCTGTGCTAAGGCAGGGACCATGGCAACCTAAGGTGGGGACAGCTGGCTCCCTGCTCACAGGAAACCTAAGGAAACCTTGGCCTGCTGTGGGCCTCCTGCTTCAGGGCCCCAGCCTCACCTCCTGCTGCTGAGGGGCCCTTGGAGCCAAGGGGACGCCAACAGCTCCCAGGCCAGAGTCTCCTGCAAGGGCACATTTCACACGCCTAAGACCCAGATCAGATCTCAGACGACTCCTAGGGTCTGAGAGGATCTGTGAAGTCCATCCACCTTGCAGGCATTTGTAGGGGTGTGGACAGAGCCAGGCTGCGGGCCAGGAGGTGGACCCATGAGTCCTCTCCTAGCCCCCATGGATCTAGGGGTGAGAATGAACACGGGGCTGGAGGGGGCCCCAGCGGACATGGTCACGGTCTTCACTTGCCTTCTTGACCCAGGCTCCAAAACCGGGGTGGGGAGGGCTGCAGGCTGGGCCCCTGGAGACCTTTGGGATCCCAGCTCAAGCGCTCATGCTCCTCTTCGGCAGGGGCCCAGGCTGCGATGCACCGGGGCAGGGTGAGGGGTGGGGACAGCTGCGCGGCAGGGGCAGCGGGGGAGGGGGCGGCTGCACGTGGGCCAGGGCTCAGGCGCCCCGGGGCCGCAGAAGAGGAAATGGCGGGCAGGATGGCCCCCTCCGCAGGGAGACACTCGGGTCTAGACGGCTTGGCAAAGCCGGCAGGACTGAGTCACATGCGTCTGGAGCTGGAGACGCAGGCGCCAGGACTGGAACACGAACGTGCCCACTGCGGAGGGCCAGGCGGGGGAGGGGGCGCTCAACCTTGGATTCCCAGTGCCTTGCCCCCAGCTAAGCACCCAGCCTCTGATCCCTGCCTGAGCCCCCCCCCCCGCCCTCCACCATGCCCATCTGGTGGGGCAGAGGTTAGCTTCCGCACGGAGTCGAGCAGGGCCCACGTTATTGGTAGGAACCAACTGAATTTCAGAGGGGGAAGGGAGATGGGCAAGTGGCTCCCACGTGCCCCCATCCTAATCATGGCCCTCCTCCTTCAACCCAGCAACAACAGCCACCTGGGACCTTTTGGCCCCAAAGCCACCCTGGCCGCACTCCCCCCAGCCCAGGCCCACCTTCTACAGACACTCGGCAGCTGAAAAGCAGTGGCACCTTACTCTCCACCACCCCATCCCCAGCCACCATCGTCCTGCTTGGGGTCCCGTGCCCCCTTCCCTCCTTCT